TTTCTCTTGCCAGTCTTAGTATCTTGTCTTTGTGGTTTTGGTCAATCTGGCTATAATGTGTCTTGGAGAAGATTTTCTTGGGTTGATTCTATTTAGGGTCCTTTGTATTTCTTGAGACTGAATCTTTGAGTATCTCTCTAGGTTTGGACAGTTTTCTTGCAGGATTTCATGGAATAGATTATCATTGCCCTTATGAGTTTCTTCACCTTCTGGGATGCCTATTATCCAGATGTTTGGACATTTGATGGTATCTAGTATTTCTCATATATTATTTTCAAATTTGGGGGCCATTTTCTCAGTCTTCGTGGTGGATTTTTCTAGGCCAGCAATTTTCTCTTCTACATCTGAGATGCTATTTTCTGTATGATCTACTCTGCTTTTAATACTTTCAAGGGAGATTTTGACTTCTTGTATTATAGCCTTCATCTATAACAGTTCCATCTGATTCTTTTGTAAAGAAGATCTTGCATTGGGAACCAGCAGTTAGTGTAATGGCTATTTCGCTGGACTCCCATGTAGTCCACTGCAGTTCGCGTCCCAGACCCGGTGGCTTAAAACTCACACCGGGCGCGTGTGTGTGTGTGCCCAAGATCCCAAAAGGAGAATGGAGGAGAAGGGATTGTGGCGTGACCATCCCCCCCTGGGGGGTGATTTCTCGCTTTCTGTCTCTATGTATTATAGCCTTCATCTCTAACAGTTCCATCTGATTCTTTTGTAAAGTGTGAAATTCCTCTTTTAGATCTTGCATGAATTTCCTCACCTCCTGGAACTCTTCAACTCTTTTCTCCTTCCTCTTCAGCAGTTCCTTGTCTCTCTTCTCTTCCATTTCTGTTAGCTTTGCCATTATGAATGTTCTGAATTCTTTATCAGACATTTCCATGATTTCCATTGAACCGTGTATGGATGAAGAGGAGCTATCCTTTATCCTTGTGGGAGAGGTATTTTCCTGCTTCCCCATATTTCTTTTTTTTTTTTTTTTTGGCGGGTTTTTCCAGATGTCTAGTCATCTGGTGGATGGTTGGTTTCTTCCCAAATTTGGAAGTCCAATCACCCAAGTTTTGTATGCTGGAGCCCAAATTATCAGTGGGAAGTCTTCATTTCTCAGTTTTCCCCAAAGTGGCTAGATCTCAGGAGCCATGGAGAAAGGTGTCTCTTCAAGAAAGCCTGTTCCCTTCCCTTCTCCCATATGATGCTTTCTTAGCGTGCTCATTTCTTCTTTCATATCGTGGAAGGACTAACTAATCTCCTGTAATTTGTTGTCTCTTTTCTATTCCAACTCATAGAATTTGGTCACCATGAAAGTTCTAAATTCTTTCTCTGACATTTTGGTAACTTCCTCTGTTTTTTTCATGAAGTGTAGGGGAGTAACTGTGTTCTTTGGATGGAGACATATTTCCTGGTTTATTCAGACCTGAGGCTCTTCTTCTACTTCTAGCCATTAGGAGATGTATTCGCTTTAGAATACCTTTTAGGAGAATGTTTCTTCGACTATGAGCAAGTGTGTTTCCCTTTTGTTGTGAACTCTTGAGTGATGAAGCCTTTCTTCTGTTGTGTTTAGCAATGTGGTCCAAGGAGTAAAATTCTATTTAGGTTTCTGAAGAGCAGTATCTCCTTTTTTGCAGGTGGTTTGATAAAAGGGAGTACCTCAGGTAGTTTTCCAATACTAGCATATTTCAGAACTATGATTCTAGACCTATCTAGTCTGTTCAGGAGGGTGGAGGAAGAGGAAGAGAAGACCAAATAAGAGGGAAGACAGTAAGGAAAAGAATAAAGAAAAAAATGCCAGGGTTCTAGAGATAGAAGTGGGCTCTGCTGTTGAGCTGGAGATGACCCTGTTTGGTAAGGAGAAGTGGGAAATTAACAAATCAAAGAAGAAGAGAAATAAAAGCCCTACCTGGCTGATAGAGATAGAGGGGATCTCTGGACTTGGGGCTGCCAGGGCTGGAGCTGAGGCTAGAGGCCCTGCCTCAGTGTCCCTTCGGCCAGGGTTCTGGAGATGGAAATGAGGTCTGCTGTCTATTTATTTATTTATTTTAAGAGATTTTTTCTATAGAGCTCGTGCACTCACCAGAGAGACAGAAAACAACAAATCATCTCCTGGGGGTATGGGCACACCACAATACCTTCTCTTCCATTCTCCTCTCAGGATTTTGGGTATACTCACACCTACGCTCAGTATGAGTTTTAAGCCACCAGGTCCAGGACTCAGTGGCCAACCATGTGAGAGTTCAGCACCTTAACCACTATGTCACTTGCTGGCCCCACACATTTTAAATTTTGATGACAATAGAGCAAGCAGGTGGTGTGGAGATTAAAATACTAGATCCCACATAGCTTACTACAAGATTCAAGTCCCAAAATCAGCAGCTTGAAAATCACATCAGGTGTGTGTGTGTGTGTGTGTGTGTGTGTGTGTGTGTGTGCATGCCCAAAATTCTGACAGGAGAATGGACGGGAAGGGATTATAGCATGGCCATCCTCTCTGGGGAGGTGGGGGGGGGGATTCATCACTTTCCCTCTCTCCCCTCTCCCAGTCTGTCTCTCTCTGGAGAGCACATGCACCCTATGGAAAAAAATAAAATTTGATGACAATGGTCTCCATCAACAGTTGGCATCTCCAGAACAGTATCTGAAAGGAGGAACACAGCAAAAGGTTGCAAAGTGCTGTTGAGAACTAATGCCCAAGGAAATTGGTATTTTTGTATGCTGTGACTACATGGTTGCATTTCTTTTGAACACTCAGTCTCTAACACAATTTTCCCTGTCAAGTCTTTGTTCTTTATTGCTTCTTTGTTTTACACAGGGTCTGGCTATGTTGTGATCCTCCTGCCTCAGTCTCCTGAGTAACTCAGACCCAGCCACAAGCCACCACTCCCTGCTATTAGGGTAAATAGGGAATAAAACCCAGGTCTCTCAGGTGGTTTTCACCAGCAGCATCCAGAGCTACCATGGCTGAACCTCCTATAAAGTCTTCTTTGTGTTTGTTTGATTTGCTTTGCTTTTGTTTTGTTTTCTTAATTTCCTGTAAGGATGTGTGTGCTCACCTGAGAAAAACAGAGAGGGAAAGTGAAAAAACATCCCCCAGTGGGATTCACCACACCCTTCTTTTCCATTCTCTCGGGATTTTGGGCACATAGGCACAGGTGTCCCCATGCTTTTCACTCTGTGCAGTCTGAGACTTTAATGGTGTTGATCATGTGGGTTGGATGCCTTAACCACCACAGTGTACTATTTACAAGAACCCAGGTTTTTTCAGGAACGTATGTATCAGTTTCTAGCAGTTAAGCCAGTATTCAAAAGGATAGGTTCTGAGTTGTCCTGAGGGGTGACCCAGGGAACTAGCTAACCACCTCCCTCTGAGAACGGAACCACTTCCCAGCAGCCTGTGGGGCAGTTCTCTGGAATTCCAGCCCAGAGCCCATCATAGTTCCTCTCTTCTCTTCCCTCTGGACCTTCCAGGCCATTCAGGAAAGGTCAAGGGAAAAGACTTAGTGTAATAGTTTATGGTCCACCACAGGTTAAGTCCTGGACTCATTAGCTTGAAACACTCCAGGCAGGTGTGCATACCTGCCCAAAATTCTGAGAGGAAAATGGAGAAGAAGGGACTGTGGTGTGGCTTTCACCTCTGGGGGCAAGGGGGAGTATCGGGGGTGATTTCTCACTTTCTGTCTCTTTTTCTGGTGAGCGAAAGTGCCCTATAGCAAAAACCTCTTAAAAAAAAAAAAAAAAACTTAGAATCTTACCTCTTACAAGCTTACAGATCTTGAGCAAGTCCCTGCACCTCTGCAAGACTCAATTTCCTCATTCTTTAAATAGCATGGCCGTGTCTTAAACATGTTTCATGTTAACTTTTAAGGTGTCTTTAATGCTTGCTTCACTATTTATAATTCTGTACCTGCAGACAAGTAACTTCACTTCTCTATGAGTCATCTGTAAAATGGGGCTCTCGTGAGGATTTAATACCATGTGTGCAAAGAACTTAGCACAAGATACACACCGAGCACCCCCAAATTAAACCACATTAGGGGATCCAGAGGAATCTCCAGAGCACCAATTCTGACTTCCGAACAGATGAACCCAGAGGTAATGAGAAAGCAGATGTGGCTGTGATATCCCCGAGTACAGTAAACACACTCTCCCAGCCCGGTCTTCCTGCGGAGTCTCCGCCAGTGGTCCAACCCCTAAGCTTGCTGGAGCCACCAGCCAGATCCTCGAAGTCGCGGTTTGGGGGCCGCCTCCAGTAGCACCGGGTGCGGAGAGCGGACTACATTTCCCAGCGTGCACCTCGGGTCAGAGGCCCAGAGAGCCTGTCCAACCTTGTCCACCTGTGTCGGCGGCTCCAGGCAGAACCGTCACTGCGTAGATCCTATTTCTCGCTTTACTGAGTGCGTGGGTTACCATCAACCCCACACAGGACCGCGGCCCCGCCGGGTCTGGAAGAAGCTCTGGTCACCTCCTCCAGGTGCGCAGCACGCCAAGCCCGAGTGAGGATCTGAGGCCGGATTTATCTCCCGGGAGGAACCCCTCGATCCCACGGAGTCTCCACAGCAGCCCGAGGCTGGCAGGGGGCTCTGGGGACTGCGGCTGGGACCGACCCGAAGCAGCGCGGCTGAAGACTCCAACTCCCAGGCGGCAGCGCGGCGGCGGCGTGTCGTCACTCCCGCTCCGCGGCAGCACTGGGAAGCGGCGCGGGCGGGGACAGAGGCTGGGGTCG